TGACACGGTATGGCGTACAGGGCTGTGGTACAAAATGATACGATGTTGAATTAAGGGAAAATTCCTAACACTTGTTAAAAACATGTATCATAATATCAAATCATCTGTTATTGCTGGATATGAAATGTCGCCATTCTTTCAGTGTAGAAAAGGTGTTAGACAAGGTGAAAACCTATCACCATTATTGTTCTCTATTTTCATAAATGATCTTGCATCTTCCCTTTTCGGAAATGGATGTACGGGTGTGAAAATTGAATATGCAAATGATGACATTAATCTCTGGTTACATTTGATTGTGCTGTTATATGCCGATGACGCGGTTATCTTCAGTGAATCACCTGACGAATTACAGAACTCATTAGATATATCTTATAAATACTGCTCCAAATGGAAACTTAATATTAATCTATCAAAAACTAAGATTATAATTTTTTGGAGGTGGGCCTTCGAAAACAGCAAATCCAAAGTTCTCCTATTCGATTGGGGGTAGTAAAATTGAAGTGGTAGACACATATACTTATCTGGGCCTAAAGTTCCATAGGAATGGTAGATTCTTGACAGGTATCAAAGTGCTAGCTGATAATGCAACTAAAGCTATGTTTACGCTTTTAAGAAAAGCCAGAAATCTAAATCTACCAATTGATTGCACCCTTAAAGCATTTGATGCTATGATAAGTCCGATCCTGCTTCACGGCTGTGAAATATGGGAATTTGACAAATTAAATCTGGTTGAAAAAATACATCTTAAATTTATTAAACTTGCTGTTGGTCTTCGAAGTTCGACTCCAATCTTTATGGTGTATGGTGAGTTTGGTCGAGAACCGCTATATATCAAAGTATAGAAACGGGTTATCTCATTTTGGCATAAATTAGCAACAAATAATCAACACTGTCAATATTCCTCATTGCTATATAGTATTATTTCTGTTAACGATGTAAGCTGTCATCCTCGATGGATATGTTTAGTTAAAAAAATACTTAACGATTGTGGTTTATCAAATGTTTTTTTCAAACCCACACTATTTATCTACGACATGGCTGGTTTTAAAGGTTGAGACTATTCTAAAAGATCAGTTTTTACAACATTGGCGTAGCTCAATAGAAAGCAGTTTAAAAGGTCAATTCTATAAATGTTTTAAATATAATCTATGTTTTGAAAATTACCTATATTTGCCAAAAGACATATATTTTCCTATATTAAAACTAAGAACCAGTAACCATAATCTACCTATTGAAACCGGCCGATGGCATTCTATACCAAAAGAAGAAAGATTATATAAACTATGTAATGCTAATGCTGTTGGAGATGAGTTTCACTATCTCTTCTGGTGTGAAGCCCTTCTCCAACACCGAAATACCTACCTCTCGATACAAATATGTGATTTCCAAAATTATCCAATGATTAGGAAACTCTTATGTTATAAAACCACGAAGGATTTAAAGAATCTTAAGTCAAATCTGAATATATTATATAATTTGTTAAGGTAATATTCATATTATCCTGTCCTGTCACTTGCCATGTATATATAAAATTAAAAACTTCACATTTTTAAAAGTAATCCCATAGATGATATACAACGGACAAATGTATCAGAGAGGGTAATTTTTAATCATTAATGTCCAAAGAAGGATTTTAATTAACGGTGGTTACCATAATTTGTTCCAAACACCTACGGTATTCGGTAATAACATCAACAGTTTAAATCATAAGTCCCAAGCACGAGAATCTGATGGCACACAAGTTCAGTAGCGTGTATGGCCACCATGTGCGTTGACAACTGCCACACAACGCCTCCGCATGGACCTTGTGATGCTTGTGAACACATGATTGGGAAGACGACGCCATTGTTGCTGCAAAATGGTGCCAAGATCTTGCAAATTCTGTGGTTGGTTCTGGAGAGTGCGCAGACTTCTGCCAAGAGCATCCCAGACGTGTTCGATGGGATTGAGGTCGGGAGACCTTGACGGCCAGTCCAAGACGTTGACTCCCGCATTCTGAAGGAAATTCCTTGTCAAAATTGCTGTGTGGGGTCTGGCATTGTCGTGTTGGAAGATCAAACCGGGTCCATGTGCTGCCATAAAAGGCATAAGTTCTGGTGCCAGTACCTGGTCGCGGTAAGCAGCAGCGTTGAGGTTGCCACGGTTGACAAGAAGCCTGGAACGTGCATTGCCACAGAAAGCACCCCACACCATGTCACTTCCGCCTCGAAATCTGTCAACTTCCTGTACACAACACTGGGCGTAACGTTCATGACGTGGCCTCCACATCCTCACCCTACCACCAGCAAATCGAAGATTAAATCGGGATTCATCACTGAAGACGACTTGATTCCAATTCCCCTGAGTCCATCGTAAGTGTCGCTGTGCCCACAATTGACGTTGACGTCTGTGTAATTGAGTCAGAATCGGCCCGCAGTATGGCCGTCGTGCTTGAAGGTGAGCAGTTCTCAGACGGTTTCGAACAGTTTGCGCACACAGTCTACCCCTAAACAGTTCATTTCTGGTTGATGTAGCCGTCAAAAATTGGTTACGGAGGTGACGTAAGACAATCTGACGATCCTCTGCATGTGACGTCACACGTGGTCGACCTGGCCGAGGGCGATCAGCGGTGGTACCCGTTTGCTGTAGACGCGTCTGTAAATAATAAACAGTCCGTCGACTACAACCCATCGTCCTTGCGACTTCAGCTACGGACGTTCCCGTCTGCAACATGCCGATGGCACTTCCATGTTGCACATTTGAAAGGCTTGGCATGACAAAAGGCGGTAAAGACTTTTGTTTTCTTGTGTTTTTCTTTTTTGTTAATGACTGCTAACAAGTATGGCTGAAAACACGTGCTGTATTATGGCCACGTGACCAGTTGCACGTGAAAAACACTTTTGCCACTATAGTGCTGTGCACATGATTTTGATCGATTCACCGGCACAAAAATGGGTGTTATCTGAAGACAATACGTGGCCATTACTGTTTAAACACACAATAAGGGCCCACAATGATAACTGGTCAAAATGTTAAAATTTTAGGATTGTGAAGTTTTTAATTTGGTTCAGTATATACAAGCGGAAAGAAGTTTTATTCACAGCTAATCTAGGAGATTTAAATGATGTCGACGTTAGTAGACTCATACAATCTTACTCGCAACGATGATAATAAATGGACTATGGTCGAAGAAAAAATTGAGTGGCTACTGAATATTATCATCATTACCCCACCATATGTGATGACGGTAAGGGACATAATTTATCTAAGATAATGAATAGTGGGATCGTACTCGAGGCTTATATCCCCTCAAAACAAAAAAGTGTGTTAGTCACTCCCCTGCCAGAAAACCCAGGTCATATGTTATTAAGTTGTCCGGCAGTAAAAAATGTTAGTTTAAATTTGGTTACTGAATTCAATGATATAAAACAGAACTTGAATGCTATACCTGCTCTTTCTACAATTATTATTGAAGTCTTGTTTGAAGATGCACCAGAAGATGCCTTCGAGATATTATCAGGTCTATCAATTAAATGGCTCAAGAAACACGAGCGTCAACGTTGCAGTATTATTTATATGGGAGTATCACCCTTGAGGGGGTCCAAGTTAATAAAAGTGAAAGCATTTCTCTTACTAAGATATTTATGCCGCATAATATACATTTAATAAGGTTGATGTATACTCTCAAAACATTTAAGCAAGATCAATCAAAGACTATTATATTATATGATATAATAATATACATTATGGGTTTATATCCGGTGCTCGATGAACTATCTGAAAAGATGGATAATGTTGATGGATTTCGATTACATCAAAAAAGTGACATAAAACATCGAATAGAGAAGGAGAGGGGGTTTAGACTTGTATTGTATAAAAAGTAACGCAGAGCTGTGAATGCTCTTGACGGAGTTGACACTGCGCTTGTAACAGCTGGCATGGGACTCGGTGTAGCCCGTGTTGGTTTATTATCAACTATATTCGCAGCGCCTATCGTACTTGGTATGGAAGTAGCAGCCGGAGTCTCAGGACTGGCAGGAATAGCGATAAAATTTATTTCTCTTCAGTTGCAAAACAAGGCATTAAAACATGATAATATTCAGATACTCGCCGAAGCAAAGTTTAACAGCATTGAGGATCTTATTTCAACAGCACTGGCTGATTGTAAGATATCCGAGGAGGAGTTTCGCTCAGTGTTGTCAGAACTAACCAAATACAATACAATGAAGCAGGAGATTCAATCCAATTCTCGTAAGAACAGTGGTATTAGCGAAGACGAGAAAAAAAAGTTCATAGAACAGGGGAGATAACAAGCGCGGCAATTATTCCGTGCCAAAACCAAAGAACTGGTTGGAGATTAAAAATAGATTGTTTCCTATCGTTGGATCACATTTAAACGAATGCTTACATAAGTCTGTAATAATGGAGAATTACAAGCCAATCAAGTGGCGAGAATTAACACAGGGTGAATATTTTCATTACAATTTAGTTTAGACTCATGACGATCGTTGAATCGCATCATCATTTTGACATAAAAAATTCCCTCTGTAGTAGCAGTATAGGTATATAAATCTGGCTCCAGTGGAAGTGAGCCAGAAATGTCATTGTCTATACTACTCAGCCAAATACCCTCATGACATTTTATATCTGCGTGTGTTATGCATTTGTATTTGGCTGCATCAAGCATAGGCAGGCATGATTGACACTCAATCATGTAGCACCTCATTTTTTAAGGTTTAAGGTGAGAATTCCCTAAACACCAAAAATCTTTTATGTATTTCATGTAACAAGACTTTGTATCTGTTCCTGTGTTTGTTGGTCATTATAAAAGGGGCAAAATGACACAGAATCAGCCATTTCACACACTGTAACAATAACCGCATCCTCAGTAGGGATTACAATAAATCTCTCTGATGACCACAGGGATTGAGCGCTAGTCATGGAACTGAAAGGATGGATGAAGACACATGACATAAGCTCACAATGACTGAATGCGAGTAAAGAAGAAAACCAACCAAGAATTTCTATTTACATATATTTTTATTAGATATCTTCCTTACAAAAAAAACTACTTCCTTGTGTAATAATATTTGTTCAAATCTTAAACTTTAATGCATTATTATTTCTTATATTTTAGAAATATAAGACAGTCCAAATTAATTGCAATAGTTTACCTAGAAGTTTCACACGGCTAAAGTTCTGAGATGTCATAAAATCCAGTAACCGAGACCTCACTTATGCTTATCATAGAAGTAAAAACCAGTTCAAGTGAATGGCCTTACATGAAACAGGATTTCATCATAGGACAGAGCAAATACCCATTTCTCTTTACAGCTTTACCAGATAATAAAACAAAATGCAAAATATAGGCCATGTAACACATTTTAGCTGAGATATGGTACACATTGAAAAGACAGCTACACATAACAAATTAAAATATCTACATTTTCCAGTAAAATAAAATTTGCGATTCATGGAAGATGAACTGAGTAAGAACATGCAACGTTTATTTGTTGTTTAACAGATGGTTAATCAATAGTCTGCTTGTTACTGTCACACTTGGACTATGATTGAACAGTTTATTCTCGATTGTTTGCATTATCATCATCTGCATTTTTGTGCAGTAATACAGAAAAAGAGCTGTTTTAGTTGTGAGACGTTCCAAGATGGGAAGAAGTGAATAATGAATGAGAAACTAGTCTAAGATGCTGGTTGTTCTTGGGCATGTGAGGAAGAGGAATCCTGAGGCTTCATCACATCAGGCAGCTCTGGAGGGCTGGAATATGATGATATCTCTAGTCCTTCCCACTCTCCATCTGAAAAATTGAAATGTATAATTAACAAGAGGTGTTTGCAAGTTCTGGCAAAGAATCAGACCCTTTGCACCATTTCCTCAAAGCTCCTGAAAGCCTAAGATACTACCATGTACTTCAAGTACGAAAACATTGCTTCAAGACCATGACCTTAATCAAGACAATGCTAAGATACAATTACTAAATCCCATGAACATACATAGGAAAGTGTAAAAAGTATGAATGAAACATGTCAGTTGACCTTGGCTTTCATAGACATGCAACCAAAATTTCATGTAGGATTTGTAAAGATGCATGCAAACATAAAAGTTTCATGCCTCAGAACCTAACAACGATATAACCACCACAGAAATCTGCTTCTGTTTGTTTGCTTATTGTTCAATGCTACCATATCCCAGGTATATGACCTGGCCTGTAAATAATCAAGTCTGGACCAGACAATGCAAACATTGATATCATGAGAAACGACCATGCTGTTGGGGTATGATGACATACAATCTGGTGACCAATTCTAAGCTGTAATTAGAAAAATAACACTGAAGTATGACCTTGACTTTTGACTTATTTTGCACAAACCCTTTTTATGAACAGGGCCCCCTTCCTGAAACAGGTATATGTCCTACCGACAAAATATAAGGGGACTCATGAAATGATAGTGAAGGTATTATGAAGGTATAATGAAGGTATAATGACGATAAATGTCATGTAAAGTTTCAGCTTAAAGGTCCTGTAGCCTCTTAGAGGATTATGTTCACAGTGCTAGGAAATGCATTCTAAGAGGAAATAGGAGCATGGTCAAAGCGCACAGGTCAAAGCGCACAGGTCACATAAAAGGTCAAAATTTAAAATATCACAAAAAAACGGAACATATGTACCAAGCCCAACAACTAACTACAAATATTGCAAATTTCATTACATTTTGAAGTAAACTGGCTGACAAATGACCATAAGCAGTTTCAGTTTTCAGAATGGTCAAATCAAATCAGGGTAAAAATTTACAGTATCATAAAAACAGAACATTTGTCGAATCTCACTTTTAACTATGCATGTACCAAATTAATGGCCACAAGAAGTTTCAGCTTTCAGTATGGTTAAAGCAAAAATGTCAAATCCAGGTAAAAATAAAATATATTGCAAAAACTGAACACACATGCTGAGCCCCAACATAATGAACAAATATAATTACGTTTTGAACAAAAATGGCTGATTGAATAGGTTTTTTCAATATGGCTTGCATGTGATTCGAACCTCTTGCACAAATTAGGGTGGGAACAAGAATGTGAAGTTTCACCTTTATTAGTCTAGTGGTTTTTCGGTCAGGTAAGTTAAGTAAAGTCCAATATTATAACTCCAAATATTTTAATGCAATGATTGAACAAATTAAATCTAAAACCATATCTGTATATAGAGTCTATTAATTGTTGTCTTTATTGCTGCTTTCACTATATATATTTAAACCAAAAATAAACATAGATGAAGCTGTTTTGTTGTGGCTATGTTTAACGTATGGAACAGTTTGACCGCCACACTTAGAGATCAATCTATCAGCAATCAAGACATGATGTCCATTATGGATCACACATTTAGGAGGTCTATTTCCAGCATTAAAATACATGCTATGTGTATCAGCAATGTTGACCATCCCCACACTATAATATGCCTGAGAAGATATATACCAAGTTCAATGATAATGCAACCAGAAAGGTGTTCACATTAGATGCAAAATCAGAAACTGATCCATCTCCACTTTTCCCCAAATGCTCTGAAACATTCCCACTAGAAACAGATATCATGAAACATTGTGACCTCACCAATATATATATTAATATATATCAATATGCATAATTGATCCTGTACAATGTATAATGCAGTACAACTTAGTCCCATGCCTCTGCCAACCCTAATAACAAATTATAAGCCCTTCTGGTTCATCACTTTCAATTTGTGAAAACACGTGACTAATGCAGTAAATTGTAAAACAAAATGTTCAATGACTTAAGTTACTATAATAACAAAGTTATGAGCATTACAGGTTTAATCACATCACTTTCTAAGTGTGCATGTGTCAGATGTGACAGACGTGTTTCACTTAAAAATCTTTTTAAAAATGGGTATCTCTTTAGCCCAGTATCGGGCTAAAATATGTACATTCATCCTGTCAGATAAGTCACAACGATACATATTCTGCATACATGTGGACAGAAGCTTGATCTCCATGTATTTGAGACTTATTTTAAACCGGACATTTGAGATTCCCAATCGGACATGTCCGGCGCATATGACGGTTTCCGGACCCCTGCTTTACTGCTTCTGAGCACTCTACTCATGACCTGCGGATCAGTCGAAGTAAACCCCGGCCCCGGCTCACGAGACAACAAACTCTAACTGCTGACAAGGAAGGAGCTGTAGGATTGGAACAAAACACTGGTAATTCTGAAATTATTAGTATGCTGAAAGTCATTAAATCTGATCTAAAAACCATGAATAAAAAATTTGAATCTCTCAACACAAACGTTGACAACATGGTGTCCGACCTCAATCACCAACTTGAAGGTGTACGATCTGAGAATAGTGATCTGAAATTAAAGTTAAAGCTAATGGAGTGAGTGAATATGGTTTTACGCTGCTTTTAGCAATATTCCAGCAATATCACGGCGGGGGACACCAGAAATGGGCTTCACACATTGTACCCATGTCGGGAATCGAACCCAGGTCTTCGGCGTGACGAACAAACGCCTTAACCACTAGGCTTCCCGACCGCCCCTAAAGCTAATGGAGGACAAGATGGATGATTCAGAATCTAGAAGTCGACGGGATGACCTGGTATTTCACGGACTGCCCGGGACAGCTGGAGGAACATGGGAGCAATCAGAGCGAATGGTTTATGATTTCATGGTGGACACATTACAGATGGATCAGGCTGACAATGTTGTCATTGTGAGAGCTCATCACTTAAATCCACGAAACCCACAGTCACAAGAGATCGACAAATTCATGAAATCAAGTGATAACTCAAATGTTTTCCAAAACGCAAGAGATATGTTGATGCAAGATGGAAACCAGAGAGTCAGAGGTTTTCACTCAACGTGTATGCGAGGACAGGCACTCCCTCTCTCCTTGGTTGGTGCAAGCGCATGATCAAACAAACATATGAAGGTGAAACCAAATAAGCCTCCCAGACTTGTATTTAGTAAATATCCTACAATTAACAATTTAATTTCTATCATGCAGAGTAAGAACATTGATGTTATAAGAAATGTCAGCCTATTCCTATATAGTGTAAAAAAAAAAGAAGAAATACACAAATGTAAATATGATATAAAATGTGCATGGAAGATCAGGTATTTTGGGTTGGAGGCCTTAAACTGGATAAAAAAACTGTCTGTCTGTCTTTCTAAGTGAGGAAACCACATGCCCAATGCAGCAAAACTTTCAGAAATTCTTGTGCTTCATTCTTGCCCTTCAGTCACAGCCATGACCTGGCAGAAACTTGCAAAGCATATGTTGTCTGTTTGTTGTTTAATGCCACACTCAGCAATATACCAGCTTTATGATGGTGGTCTTTACATAATCGAGTCTGGAACAGACAATCCACTGATTGACATCATGAGCATCGATCCACGCAATTGGGATACGAGGACATGCCTCAACCAAGTCAGCGAGCCTGACCACCCGATCCCGTTAGTCGCCGCTCATGACAAGCATAGTCGCCTTTTTGTTGCCGAAGACCTATTCCACCGGAATCTTCACGAGATGCAAAGCATATGTGGGCATAACAGATGTAAAGTTACTGTAGCATACTGTAAATATAGTTTGATTTATACTGTCTTTCAAGTCTTTCAGTGAGTGAATCAAGAGTATGGAGGAAAGTATTATTGTATAACTAATCACTGTAAATAATTTTTGTTATCGATCATCTTACAAAACAAAATACAGCATTCCATGTTGACAATAATGAATCTGGTGACCTTGTCCTTCCTCAATGACCATTAGAGGTTATTGAGGATCTTCTCATGATCATGCAAATTAAGTTATATCAAATTCCAAACACAGATGTTCAAGATGTTGTGAACACAAGCTTTTAGGGTTTTGTGAAAGAAACATTTGACTTTCATCTAATTCAATGCAATGGGAGAGAACATTACTTGTTGCAAAGGTGGTATTACAAATATGAAGTCTAAATACCATTCTGACAATACTTACTGACTGAAACTATTTACAAGTCTTTTTGAGCATAAATTACCTTCAAATTTATGTATTTTAACTGTTTTGAGAATATCAGGTGTCTCATAACATGGCCTCAAGTGACATTGACCTTAAATGGAGGTCACCCAAAAGTTGATGCGATTTGAGACCATGTATACTCAGTTCAGTATTCATTCTAGAGCAAAGCATTGCTACATGCTTTTTAATAATGATGCAAGAATTATCAAGCATGGTTTCTAATACAAAAGAATCTCTTATACCTCAACCTGCATTATTTTATGACAGTAACATTTGTCAACATGCTTCTTTTGCCAGTGTTTATACAGAAGTGAACAGTGCGCAAAGTTATGAAGCAAGGTCCATCACACTGCGCAAGACCTTCATTTCTCATATTATAGCACAAGCATCTCAAGATGCAATTGAGTTATTTACTGAAACAAGGTATGGCAACAGACTGTGAATCTTGCGATGGGACAACAGAAGCAAACTCTCCCATTCATATATTTGATAATCAGCAAACCAACGGCAAGTTAAAGAACAAACAATGGGTGAATCATCACCCAGGAACCCATTTTTCCCCCAAAGAGAAATGGTTGGTTGTTTTATTCTGGTAAGCAGAAAACTGATTACTCTTGAAAGTGAATTTAATCAAACAAGCACATTGAACATCTTGAAACACCCTGCTGAGAGTAAGATCACCAAGCAGTTTGTGGCTCCCCGTTTGAAATAACCCCACTTTTTTGTCATAAGTGGGCATGAATGGCCCTTAATTTTTGTCGACTTGAATGAACACTGAT